ATTTACCACATTAGCATTGTATAGAGTGTACTTCTTTAAAGTTAAGACTAGTTTAAAGTTATCTTCATTGAGAAGTACAGTGCTTTTCCTTCAAAAATAAGAACATTTCAATGTGACCTGAAACTTTTGAACAGTAGTGTATATATATTCTTTTTTTTTAGTTTTGGAGATATTTTGTTGTGTTGTGGGTTAGTTGAACCATCACATCCTTTTTTTCTAGACTAGATGGGTGCAAAATATCTCAAATTCAAACTGTTGTCCAAGCAGTAGTTCACAATTTGAAATGCAAAATATATTGTAAACCATGCATAAATATTAGATCCTAACTGTACTTTTTTTATTCTTTTATGGAATAATTAAGATTGAAGGTTCTGGTTTAAAATGATCCGTTTATCATTGGTATTAAAAATCACAACTGTACAATGTACAACTTAACTGGTTAAAATGAAAAATTAGCCCCTCAGATTTATTATGAGCTTCCTGTTAGAAAAAAAAGACCAGATTGTTGCATAAAGGCTCCATTGTACACAAATTTGGAATAAAATATTTAATCACCACACATTGTTTCTATAGTGAGGATAAATAGCCTTTGGTATAATTCACACCGGATGATATGACGCCCTCTTCTTTTTTTTTATGTGTTGGTTTCTCACCATGGAGACGACTTTAAAAGTCCACAACTATTCAGTACTTTGATGTCTTGATAGAAATAAAAAAAAAAACCTCAACTTTAGTCTGCATTTTTGCTCCAAAACAAGTTTTTTGTTTGTTTGCTTTTTTAAAAGCATTTATCACTTCGGCACTTAAGTTTCAATATTTTTATTTTATTTTTCAGGTGTAGTTTAAGGTTTGGAAGGTGGTCTTGATCTCTTGTTATTTCATTCTCCCAATGCAATGCCACCAGTACTGTGATTATAATGGGAGAATTCATAATTTTCAGCTTCATTAAAATGTCTTTGGGGCCAAATAGTTGAATTATTGCCTTGAATTGTTCATTTAGGAATTTCTGTCTCCACTGTGGACAGTGATGCTGCTGTTCCAGCGGCTTCCAGTTATCTAACAAAACCAATAATAATAACATAAATGATCCAATCATATCAATTTAAAAATGTTAGGAATTGATCTTAAAAGCTGGATCCATGAAGGGGTTCAAGTATGCTAGAATTATTCCAATTTACTGCAATTTCCTAAAAGAAATCCATCAAAAATATTACTGGCTTTATTCTAAAAATAACTGTGACTGTTTCAATCCACTAAAAGCGTAAACTAATGTCTTGACTCTTTGTTTTAAGAAAGTTTTGTCTCATATTCTGAGTCAAACCTGAAAAACGAGAGTATTTGAATGAACTCCTTAAATGAAAGACTGTAAATCATTGCCTGTACAGTGAAGGTCTCTGTATGTATCAAAGAAAGAAAATTGAAAGGTTATTAAGCAGGTTTAGGTTTTACAGCATGGCTGTAACGTTCTCTGCTTTCCCAACAGCCAGTGAGAATCTGTAAAACATTGTTCCAGTTTGAGAAGCAAAAACAAACAGATTTATTTCCTATTTTATCTGACTGAGTAAAACAAAAAAGGTTCTCTTTGTTTTCTAAAATCTGAAACCGTTCACAGATTGAAATTGTCCCGTTTTTCCCTGACGGTCTTTTCCTGCATCGTATTTTGATGGTTTGCACCAAGGAACCTCTCTTAAATGGTTATTTTAACTAAAATATTGGTACGTACATTATTTATATACAGAAAGCGTAGCCACCACTTTAGTGTTCTTGTCTTTCACATCTGTGCCATTTTTATGTTTGGTAGCCATCAGATCAATGACTGTCACTGTTTTTACATGGCATTGACAATGATAATCATTGTGTGGGTTAATATGTTTGGGGATAAGTATACTTATTATAAATGTATGTCTTTTTTGTATCTTTTAAATAAAGACGAGATGATCTGAGACGCCTGTGTGATCTATTATCATATTAGGTTTTTCGAAATGATTGCCACTGATTTTCTGTTATCTTTCATATTATATTTTGGTTAATATGATTTAAATAATTATATTCATGAAGAAATCATTTACATTTATATCAGAAACTGTCCAAAATATAGTAGGGAGAGGTGAAACAAAGATTTTTTGAAGAAAAGACATATTTACCCCCAGGGGTTAAATAAAGCTTTGTTAAAGGGCAAGTTTTTCCAAAAGTTCTAGCCAAGTGAATAGAACATTTCTGTCATTCTGTCATATTCAATGTGTCTAATTGTTTCATAGGTCAGAAACATTAAAAAGTGTAATTTTTCTACCTACCCCCCCAACGTTTCCTATTGTTAAAATAAGCAGCTAATTCCAGTGTTACGTCCCCAAGGTCTAGGGGGTGCGAAAGGTCCCGGGTTCAAATCCCGGACAAGCCCCCAAATATGTTACGCCCCAGAGGTCTAGGGGTCTTGGGGAGGTAACATAAAAATGTGTCCAGAGCAGTTTGGGGGAATGTAAAAATTAGTTATTACAAAAGATGGTTAAACAGTCTCAAAACACAATACAGCTTAACCCAATTAAAACAAAACAAAAAAGGGCAAAAAAAATTCAAGAATGGTTAAGAGAAAATAAAATTACAAACTGCTCAAACCAGTCAGACTAAGTTTTAACACAAAACAACCCAAAGGAAAATACAAAGGGAGCACCAAACCTCCCAAACACAAGCTACTAGCTTGAACAAGTACACCTAAAGCAGATTAAGGAAAATATATACAAGCTAGGGCAAAGAGTTCTTTCTTCCCAAAACAGATGAAAACCTGAAAACAAAGGTGGGGGAACAGCTTAACAAAACCCTCCTACTAGCTGTCCCCAAACTGAAAGCTTTTCAGGAGCCTTTTATAATGTGCAGGTGGGCCTCATCAACATCCTGATTGGCTTGACACTCTTCTGCTGGTCCAATGATGTCACTGCTCCTCTGCAGTCCTCAGGCAGCCAACAAGGAAGATCTCTCAGAGCCAAACCTACATAAGAAAAGCCTGCACAGTCTTAAAAGGCCAGGGGCCGTAACATCCAGTCACTTCCATGTAGCATTCATATAAGCAGTAATAAGAAAACCACATTTATTTAATCAGTTTAAATGCAAAACTTCCAAATCAGTCCAACGATTGAATATTGAAGGATCCATTCAGCTTTCTCAACATGTTTACCTACTAGCCTTATTGATCGAATTCAAAGAGCAACTCAAAGTACGAGTCTGTAATGCAGATACATTGAATTGTAGGCCCTGGAATGTCATGTGTTAGAACATAACACCCCCTCCCTTAAAAACTACACTTCCAACAGTTCTTTAAGCTGTTTTAGTTTTACTTTCCTTAAAATCTATTTTACACCTCAGACGTTTAGCTTATACAGAAGGATAAACGAAAGCAAGTATTTTTTTTCCTCCAACATTGTTTATATAAAGCTGTTCCATAAAGCTAAAAATATGAACAATGTCAAAAAGACATCATCTAAACAGCCAAACACGGTAGTGGCAGTGTGATGGTCAGGCCAAACTGCCAGTTTGTGACCTTAAACCCAAACACAATTTGGTTATATGCCACATAAACCAAATCCTAAACATCCAGCAAGTCCACAGATGTTCATTATTTGTACCAATTCTGTAAAAGAACAGCGAACCACAATGTGACTAATTTTTTTCACATTGATCAAAATGCCAGTTATTAGGTTTTTACTTTTTCAACACAGGATCAGGTTGGTTTGGGTGTTTTCCACTAATAAATGAAATCATTATTTACAGAGTGCATTGTGTGTTTATTGATGTTATCTTTGTTTGATATTAAAGAACAAAAACTCTAAAATGTGACCAAAGCATAAACAGAATAACTCCATAAAGGTGCTAATACTTTTTTTTTTTTTTTAAATGTTGTCTCTTTAATTTAAAGGCCTACGGTAATTTCTCTAGCAGGACAGCAGTTCCCAAACATTTCAGCCTGGGATGCTCTTAATTTAAAAAATACAATGCAACACACAGGCACACCCAACAAATATATATTAGTTCAAGTACTTCACTTTATAATTATTAATACAAATACATATATATATATATATATATATTTTTTTACATTTAATAATTTTATTACCCACTATGGGAACCTTTGCTTCAGAAAATTTACTTTAGAGTTAACAAAACATGCATCATTTTGCATGGGTAGTGATGCTGCAGCAAATGTTCAGTTTTAGTATGTTTACCTTGTAAAGCCTGAAGTCTCATTTTAGGTCTGCTGATACAAACGCTGTATAAAAAGCAAACAGTTTAAAACCAATAGCCCTAGAAGTTAAATCATTTTTCTTTATTTATTGATTTAGTTTTTTCTATGCTTGCAGTGTTATTAGAATAATAGCTAATCCAATTTGTTGTTGTTTTTTTCTCTACACTGCAAAAAATGTAAATCTAAATAGGTCATTTTTTCTTAAAATAAGTGAATTTTTTCTGTAATTGAGGAGGGAAGTGAGCAGTTTATACAAAAAGGAGTATCTCTAATTTAATGCTTTTTAATGCTATTTTATTGCTCTTAGAAATAATTTAATGCCATCAACATGTACCCATGTCCCCATTGACAGGCTGCAGCCATGTGCCGAATTCCTCATTTTCCAGCCACTTTTGTTGAAATTAACATTTTTCCATTCTCTAGATTTTTCTCCGCCTCGAGCTTCTTTTCCAAAAAAAACGCTTTACGATCAACTGGAAGCAGCTCGGCGCAAACACGTGGAACCAGTTACATCTAATATATCTGAATAAAGTTTTTATAAATGTTTTTTTTTTTTCCAAATAAAGGATTTTAAATGCCATGATAATCACCTTTAAATAAGTCTAATGCCAATTAAGGTCTTAATTTAAAAAATATATTATTTAATGACTTTGAATGATTTTTAATGACCCACTGAAACCCTGGTGCCACAATTTACCAATGGAACAAGACAATTTAAATAAAAAAAAAAGAAAACACTATTGCATTGTCTTATTTCAAGTTCATATTATCTAATTATCTTATCTTATCTTAAGAGTAAAAATACTAATTTCACTGGCAAATCATCTCATTGACTTTTTTCTCAAAATTATGACTTTAATTTGACAGCTAACAAACATGTTAGCATCAAGCTGTAGCCATGTCTGTTGTAGAGACTAGCTCTCTTGTTT